GTATTGAACTCTCGACCTCCCGCACAGCAGTCCGGCGCTCTCCCAATTGAGCTAACCAGGCGGCTTTCATTAATCACTGTTACAGGTATCTGAAGTATGGAATGAACTTGATCCACTTGTGGCAGCTTTACTTCCCAGCAGCTCTCCTGGTTCGTCACCTCCTGGTTCACCACCATAGAAGTAATCTCAGCATCCTGTGCAATCAATTTAGATTTTGCTCTGTCAGAGATTTGAGTATTTTTAATTACTTAGTGGTAAGGTGTTACCAGATGAAACTGGTCCGCACCAGATGACCAGCTTAGTCAAATAACAGTGATATTGACCACCCTGGGAAGCTTATATTTGGCTGGGAAGTGTTGATATGCTGCTGTTCCCAAAAATGTTCACGCATAAAGTAAAGAACTCAGTTTCAATTTCAGCCATTGAAATGGTCATCCAACTTATAAATTCAGAATAGAATATAACATCATTTTAAAGGAAAGTTTCCTCTCTGGGATTTGTGTCATTTTGATGGACAAAATGACAACTACAATATCCCAAATATTGTTGGGTATTTTCCTCTAAGCATTGGATAAATATCCACTGTTAAAAGGTATGTAATGGAGGTATTCTTCCTGGATAGCAAATTAAATGATTTGTTTTGATAACTGTTAGTAATTTTCTCAATGCATGTCTTTGTTTTGCTTGAACGGTTAGGAAATGCTTGGTTTTTTGTACCAATTGGAGCAGAATAAATGACAAAACCAATGGATAGTTATTTTGTAAAAAAAAAAAATTATAGTAATAATTTTAGTGAGCGACTGAACACTTTATTAATCACACATCTTACTCTTGCACACGTACAGGTACATAATATCCAAGGATAGGGCGCTTTCACTGAGAACCCATCCTTCATGCAAAACCAAACCCTTGCATTTTTCTTACAGTTAGCAATCAATTGGACATCTCTTGAAGAATTTTGCAGAGAATTATAAACCACACCTTACTCTATGAACTTAAGTTTGGTTTGATGGCTGTGATGTTAGATTTAGACACAAGTTATAAGTAACTCTGCAAAACCATCTTCTGCAACAAGTACTTGTGAATTGTCACTTTAATGCAGTGTTGAATTTTACACTGCAACATTGGCTATCATACAGTACATCAAAAAGCAGAAGAAACAAAATGGCTTGAAAGCCATCCATAAATTACACCTATAGAAACATCAGAAACATAAGAGACTTCATTTCCCAAGAGGTCTTTGATACAAGTAAGAGGAGCAGATTGCATATTTTGATGTTTGTCATACCTATCATTCTTGTATCACATATTAGCAAATAGTTTATGGAACATTGCTGATAATGTACCCCTTATTCCCTTGTAAATCTGGCAAAGCAGAAGAAAGCACAGTTGCAGAGAATTTTCTATGTTTGGGCAACTTGAATTGACTGTAACCCTCTAATTCCCAAGATCTAATCAGTAATTCTTCTTTCTGATTGCCTGACATTTCCAGGTAAATTAAGCAGGAAATGTTGGTTTCATATAAAGGAAACATCTTCCTGTTGATACGTTTGTCTGATCTCATAACCTTTTTGTAAGATGACATACAATATGGGAATCACATGGAGAAGTTACGTATCAATCTCCCGAGGGAATTGCAGAGTTAAGTGGTATTAAGACTTAACTATCAGCTTCTTCATACAGGATTTCCAAGTTTCTAACAAGTGACTACTGGTACTTAAAGTTACAAATTTACAATCAAATGTCTTTGATAATGTTGAATATATTAAACCTATTTTGGTAGAAGAGAGATGTTTAACTTAATGAATTAGTAGTCTAAGAGTGTCCAAAAAGGACAGGTCAATAAGGTGCATTAAAGAATATTTTTAAGAACACTGATGTAAATTTTGTGTTTTGTAATCTGGTACAGATTTACTGGCATATGCTCAAAATATTAACCTACAGGATATGGTTACTTACTGAATCTTAAAATTTAAAATTGAACTATTATATAAAGTCATATCTCTGCAGTTTTTATTTCAGTGATTTGCAACTACCCCAGCCTGTGATTCAGGAGTGAATGTGATTGTTGATTGATGGATTTGTAGCTTAAAATAACTCACGGATTGTTGACTCATGCAAAAACTCAAGAAGCAAATTCATAGGTATTAAAACACAGTGGACCGCTGATCAATTGACAATTTAAGCCCAGATTCCTGATTCTGTCTCTTTAGTGCTTTGGACCGTGTATCACATTTATGCTGGTTGGCCTTGGTGATTTGTTTTGTGGATAAGAGATTTTGCAAACCCTTATACACCCCCCCCTCCCCTCCCCTCCCTTTTCCAGTTTGAATGGACTGAAGAATCCCAGCTGGGACATGATTAGAGGCACAGCCGAGGGGATTCATCAAATGTAGGTCACCCCTCATCCCCCCTCCATGTTTTCTAAGAAAAAATTGATATCATTCATAAAAACAGAACAACTTGGCATGCCCCATTATTTCAGAAATGTTAGTTTCCCTTTCTCTTTAAAAACACCGCTTATTCTTGTAATAGGAAGAACAAATTTCTGTGAAATCCAACTCATCACAGTACAGTGCATAATAGACCTGAATTCCAGCAGATTAGGGGTGTTACAATAAGGGAGACTACTGAAACACAACCTTTCTAGATCTGATTACCACACTACCCAAACTTCCTTTGACAAACCTCCTGCATATTGTCACCAAAGCACTTGCACTTGCACTTACCCTTATGTTATGGAAAAGTTCCTTTTTTTAGATGCAGTGTCCTGATTGGATGTTTAATCCCAGCTAAGCCTGTAAAGTTCCCATGATGTATTGAGGATGAAAAAAGGGTTTCAAAGGGTCGCACAGGGGCTAAGGAGTTGAATTTACCTAGTGAGCAAGATCCTAACAGTATTGATGATTGGTTAGAATGTAGTAACTTGTTTTTATAAGTGAAAGTTATCAAAAGTATCCTCCATAAATTTCTTTTCCCCTGTTTTAACCCCTTTACACCCTGGCATCAGTATGCATATTCTCCATGCTGTTCTCCATATATTTCTGAAGTTACTGACAAAAAGAACTTGTTTAACGATCAAGAGCTTCTTTGGTTGGTAATCTTCTTGATTCTCATGGCATTACCTTATGTGTGATTCAGGGGTGTTATTGCAAAGAGAAATTAAATGTGAGTCAGGCTGAGGTGTGAAATGTTTAAGTGCATGATCAGCAAAACTCAGACAGTTTCCTTTCCGCATACCTTTTTTATTTGATTTGAGTAATATGAATAACATACTAAAAACTAACATTATAGGTTTTTAGTTGAGTTGAGTTGTAAATAACTTACTTTCTGATGAATATCATCATATTGCTTTCAAATGTTTTTGTAGCAACAAAACTGTTTGTAACAAACACTCTTAGTTTATCCAATGTACATGGCTTTGCAACCCTTTAACCTGTAATATTACTCAAAGATTTAATTCTTCGTAATATATAATAACAACTTCCCACAACCTTTTACAGATTTTTTTCTCTTTTTTTTCCATGACATACAATCAAGACCCTCTCAAAGCATTCAAAAATAATTTGTCAATCAAGGTATTCCTTGCTTTTCCACCAAAATTAATTCACTTTATCTTGGCATATTCTCTGATCTCCAAGATCAAAATATGAAAGCATAAAATTCCTTTTAATTACATTTCAGGATTTACATGACCCAAATGAACCCTAACATTTTAAGCTGTTTCACAAGTTTCTTCACTCAGTTAGCCAAAAAGGTTAAAATCAAAACAAAACATGAGAATGTAAACAAGTCTCTAACTTGTAACAAATACTTGACATCTTTTTTTGCTTAACTACCAAGCTGAAATCTACCACTTTACCCACTCCATCAATCTTTTATTTTTTTCTGTCGCTAATCTGTATGGAACTGTTTCCCTATTTCAACCAAAACTGAAAAGAACCTAAAATAGATAATGTAGGAACTAAGAACAAGGAAAATTCTGCTATTCCTATGAGTCCTAACAATGCACCTTAGAATATAATTTTTACATTATTTTTGTCAGCCAGCACATAAATGAAAATGAGCTCATTCTAATTTTACTCTCATCACACAAGTGCTTAGAGTTACAAAAAGGCTCCATAAGCAAACTCTCCACATGTGTATCCACTTATTATTAAACTCTCAAGATCTGATGGTTAATTTTCCTCTCTACCTATTACACATTTCCTTGTAAATTAGATATTATGAGAATTTGGTGTTAATTAAATCAAGATAACAAATTCTACCTGATAAGTTTGGGTCTTCTCACTACCTGTTTGCTGGATAATGCAGGGATATAATGTGGAGATGTTACAAGTTAATCACTTCTGGTACTTAATTGGTTCATTTCTACATTTAACTCACTGCTTTAATAGTATGTGCTCTACAACATTACTGATATTGTCTTGTCAGCTAGGTATCTTAACCTTCAAAAAAATTCCACTTATTGTCTGGGAAATATACATCTTATTGCAATCATAACTGATAGCTAATAACATGAGAAGTGGAAAGTCACTTAGAATATAAAATATGAAAGGCTGCAGTCAATGAAAAATTTAAATAATTTTAACTCTTCACTCAAACTAAAGATTCTGGTAATCTACATGGAAAATCTCTGCAACCACTTCAAGAAATACAGCTCAAATTTTGGATCTATTCCTCAGTGTTGGTTGGTCTTGATAATCTGGTGTTATTTCCACACAATATGGTATTTTCAGTACCATTAGTCAGTACCTGAACACCTGCCCAACTACCCCTCCCCTAACCTGACTTAAACCCTGAATTGTTAACAGTTAACTTTTGTTGAGTTAGGGGAGGGGTGGGTACGTAGCTGTTCAGATATTAACATTGATCCATATTTTCTTACTATTCATTTTCTGTCTGTTTGACAGCATATCAGAACCAGAAGTGGAAGCCTAATTTGTATATTTTTTTTTTTACTTATCACCACTGGGAGAAAAAACAAATATAAGAAACCCAATTTGGTGAAATCATTACGAGTACATTCCTTTGTATTTGACAGGAAACATATCTAACATGGATGAAACTGATAATTATGATAGCTGATAGGAATCAATTATTAAAATAATTAATAAGAACAGTAAAGGTACTGCTGATGATAAATAAATCAAGTCTTGCATTTGTCCACTTCTACTTCTCCTCCATAAAACAGACTTTGGGGTGCATCAAGGTGGCCTCCACCTCTTGTGAGGATACCCTGTGTGTTGGACAAAATTTGGTCAAAACTGAATGAATGATTTTTGGTTCGTGGCTAAGAAAGTTGTCACGACCAGTATGTGTTTAGCAGAAAATTGCTCACCCTTCTCAGCTGTTCCTGTCTTCGCTGCCACTGGGAGGGGGATACTGATCTGTTCACAGGGTAGATGACCTGTAACTGAGGGCTTGACGTGAGCAAGGATGGATCTGAGCTATGGCGACGCAGTGCATTTGTTTCCTCTTGGCATTCATTTAGCTGTCTTTTGTAGATTGTAAGCTTTGTGAATCAACAGACAAATGATTGGCAAAGTGAACAATTCCTAGAAATCTATTCGCAATTTTATTTAGAGAACAATTTGCTCCCAAAAGTGTCTCAGGTTAGACACCTGTGATTGCCTGTATAATGATCTCCAAGCAAAAGTTCTCCAGGCAATTTAAATTCAAATCAATGATTTTCAACCTTTTTGAATAAATTTGAGAGACATATTAGCTTCACACTCACAAGTTTCAGTTCAAGTCCTATTTAATTCAATAGATTTACATTGTATCCCTGGGCAAGACACTAAAAAGAACTCACAACATAAGGATTACATTTTATTAGTGCTAGCAAACTGACAAATTTGTAGGGTTACTTTTGATAGACTCATCTTGCATCCCATTAAGGTAGAGAAGTAATGATATCACTTCATGTTCCCTTGTGGCTCTATGCTCCCCAAAGAAGGCTATGTGTCACCATTACTGAGCCACTGAGCTTCTAGTTCAAGGCTGTGCTCTAGCAGTGCCAAGTGGCCCTTGGCACCTTGCTTTTGCTCTTGGGCAACTCAGAAATTTTAGTTTTTTCATACAAAGCATATGCTGGGCACCCTGGATTTCACAGTTTCAGAGCACTGGGTTCCATTCAATTTTCCTTAGAGCACAGCCTTGTAGTTATAAACTATTTGATGAAAATTTCCTCACCTCTTGTGTCAATGTGGCAATGATGTCTTGAGCATCTATAAGCTGTTGCTGAAGGTTATCTTTTTCACCTTGAGCTCGCTCTCTATCTTTCCTCTCATTTGAGAAATCTTCCTCATACACTTGTATCTGAACAAACCACATTTCAATGTATGTTACTATGCATGTTACTATGCATGTACTTTTCTCAGGAGTTACTTAGGACATGTATAACCCTGACATGTACATCTCCCAGACTTGACAAATAAAATTCCTATTTCATAAAACTAGTAACATGCATCCCTATATTGATGTAAGATAAAGTTTGGTGCTATACAATCTGCTTAATTCTTCTTACCAGTATGTATGACAACATTAAAAATGTAGGAAGATTATACATGCCAACCCCTCACAAAGTTAAAAGCTTGTCAACATAGTAATAACCACAGCAATAATGATGATGATAATGATGATAATAATAATAATAATATTATAATAATAATAATAATAATAATAATAATAATAACAATAATAATAATGCCAGAGGCAGACCAGTTGGCTATGTACAAAGCATAGCCAAGGAGTTGAACTCGGGAAACCAAGAACAAATCCAGTGAGTAGCAAGGTGGAGGGTTTGAACCTGGGAACACCAGATTACAAGACCAGTGCCTTAACCACTCTGCCACGCTTCTTCCTAAAATTAGAGATGATAGTTACTCTCAATGGGTTATTAGTATCAATACAGATCTTACTCTCCTGGCCATCCCAATGCATACTACGACAAATATACATAGACTTAAAGGTTATGTTACTTGTGGTTCAAAATTTTTCACACCAGTCATTTTTTTTTTCTTTTCTTTTCTTTTTTCTTTTTCTTTCCTATGCTCTTTTTTTTTTTTTTTTTTTTTTCATGTCAGTGTTCATTGTCATAAACTGGGAAAATGGAAATACAATTTTCACTGGTTTCAAAAAGTTTCAAACCAAGGAACGATTTTAACTACAACATTTATAAATAAGCATAAGCTTAAAGTTGATTATCCTTAATTCATTGTAGTAGTATCAAGTTTTGACCATTGTCATAAGTATTCACTAGAAAATAAGACAAACCTGCTGTTTAAATACTTCGTAATCATCCAGATCTAGAAATGGTGACCGTGGTGAAGGTTCCTGTCCTTGATAAAGATCATTTAAAGTAGCTGCAAGCCTTGAAACCTCAGCTCCCAAAGCAAGGACCTGTGTTTCTGAATTTACAAGCTTTTCTTTGGTCAAATCCAGTTCCTTTCGAAGCATTTCATTCTCTGTCTGATATTTTATCTTTATAGCATCATAGTCTTCTTTCCACTTCTTGTTGACTTCCATAACCTTCAGTTAACAGTATAGATGTCAGAGACGGAACATGCATACACAGTATGTTCAAAAGAGTTAAATTAAAGCATAATGGTAAATTGTAAATGGACAGGGTAAGAAATATTACTTTTTCAGACAATAGCAAATACTTGAAGAATAAACTGTTCTCCAATGCTTCTTGAATAGACCATGTAACTATATAAATATATCAAACAAGTTTGGGCTAATCAACAAATTGCTGACTCAGTAGATTTGCTGCAATAATAGCAATTGTGTTTCTTACAATATCTCGTTGCATCATCATAATAGCCAAGCAAATCTAGGCAGTAGGACATTTGGCTGACTTTGCATAATAATGTTAATTAGTGGTGATTATCTTAAATAGAATATCATACTACAATTATAATAGCATTACAAGATGCATAGGTGGTTTAACACAAGCCTGGACAAGTCAACATTTGGCTGACATTGCATAAATATTTTAATGAGTGACTAATAATAGTATATTAATATGAATTATGCAAACATTGCATAATACATAAAAAAAATTCATAACAAGATGAGTGGGTGGTTCATTACTAATCTAGAAAAATCAACATTTCCAGCTCAATGGACACACTGGTTTTACTGATTACCATTTGTTTAAAAATAGAAAACAAGGTTACAGTGTCAGTTAAGTATGCGAGGAATCTTTATCTGAAGGGCTACTTCTGGTCATTTCATGAATTGTTTAATAAATGTGGGTGGAGAAGAATATTCCATAAACAGATTAAAATAGATTATTGAAGCACAGTGAAGAAAAATAAACTATAGTACGACTAAGAAGAAAGAGCAATCACAAGCAAAGGAATAACTGTGATGTGATATACCGTCTAACTCCAGTATTCTGGTTATGATTTAAAACGAATATTAATGTCTCAAGTGGTTTGACCACAAACTGTTTTTTATTCATCCATATCCTGATTAAATTCACATCGTTATACAACACAATTTGTTAATTAACAAGGGTTAATTTACTCCAGAGCGTCAAAACTACTTTCCGTTGGTTTCATAAGAAAATGATTCGTGACTCAGCTTAAGTTAAGCCAAAGAACCTGAGTTCTGTGCAATACTGTATCAATCAAACATGAAATAGTGTGTTTCATCAGTATAAGTTGAAAAAGCAGGAGACTCAGAACATTGTCACTGCCACCGACAACAGTCCTTCTCAGGACTACACTCACCCGGACGATCAGACTACACCTTCACATTGACAATTTTGTAGACCATTCAAAACAGAAGGTCATAGCTGCCGTCACTACTACAAACAAATTCTAATTTCTTTTTCTACGTTTGTCTACTGTACTGAGTAAAAACACTGTTCATCTTTAACAATTCAAAACATGAGAGATCCTAATGAAACACTGCATTGAATGCTAAGAATGCCATAGAGTTATGATATGATTGCACAAGATATCTCAACATATATCGTGTCTATGAAAATTCATTGTTTAAAAAAATAATGTTGAGCATTCCACCTATCCCACAAATGAGAACCATTTTGATTATGTGCAACCATAATCAAAATCATCGACAGTTCTTTAAAATTGATAATTTCAATGATTTGCTTTTCAAAACTAACATAACTAGACACATTTTTCATAATCTGTTCATTTAATTTGAAAAAGAGATAAGCTCACTGATAGAAAATGAAAAACAAAATTACAAAAACGCACAACCTATCAATTTTCATTTTCTAAATGCATGATTGTCTGACAGATGAAAGATGTTACATAGGGTATGTGGTGATGATATCCCCCACATCCAATTGCAAAGGCCTGTGTATGAATCTTGGAGTGACGTCACAAGTGATTTGAGATTTTAGTTCATTCTTATCGTTGCGTTTTAGGTTTTGCCTCTGTAAGATTTAAATTTCTTCAGGAAAATAAATATTGATAATATAAACTCTATGGATGCATCATACTAAATCCTAAAACCTATCTCGTCAATCTTTTTTTGTTTCATTCAAGTTTTAAGGAGTAGTATATAAAGTAGAAATGTTCAGTAACACACTTTCCTTGCAAACTCATCGTCACAGTGGACCTCTTTCAAGGTAATCAGCTAACCACATTTTTTAAAATCTTTTTGAACATTTGAAAAAAGGCCAAGTGTACCCACATAAACAGTGCAGTAAAATTGATATTTTTGCTTTTAGGTAATTAACTCATGAAATTGTTGCACGAGACACTCAGTTTGGCCAACTTGAAGTTACTCCAAATTCATGAGGCATAATGCAGAGTCCTGAATAAGGAAAAAGGATTTTGGAAGAGAGCATAATGATGACCAACAGTCTGTTTGATTCCTGTCTTGCTGATATGCAATACAAATATATTGCATGGTTGTCATTAAACTCTAAAATTATACTTCAAGTTTGGCTGAATTCTCTATTTGAACAGCAAATATATTTAAGACAATTAGGACTCAGTAAAATTTTCTTATTTGA